ACCTCAGGGTTCACCCTTAGAGACTTTCAAAAGAACCCGGTGGCTGTGCAGGGATGGGGCAAATTCCAAGTGGAATACAAACATTTCAAGGGCTCATTAGACCTACGAGTGGTCGAGGCAGTACTCACTAGCTTACTGGGCCTGTCCTGGTTCGCGCCTTTAGGACTGGGAATAACTGGGGTGCACCACGTGCAGCCATCCAATTTTCAGGACGTGTGCAATGAGTTCCCAGGGGTTTTCAATGGAATGCTGGGCTGATACACGGGTCCGCCCATGTCCCTTCACATAGATCTGGCAGTGCGGCCCATCCGTTTAAAGGCCAGGAGTTCACGCTAAAGCCCAAGATTGACGCAGAACTGGAATGCTTGGTGGCCCAAGGAGTCCTAGAGCCGGTGCCGCACGCCTGCTGGGAGACCCCCATAGTAACGCCAGTCAACAAGCCTAATGGGGATGTCCACATCTGCATGGACTACAAGTGTACTATCAACAAAGCCCTCCAGGACCACACATACCCGGTCCCGGTAGTCAGTCATGTTTTGGCCTCTTTGGTGGGCAAAAAGATTTTCGGCAAATTGGACCTGGCCCAAGCATACCAGCAGCTTCCCATTGACGATGCCACAGCCGAAGCCCAAACAATCGTCACCCATCGGGGTGCTTTTTGGGTGCAGTGTTTCAATTTGGGGTGAGCGTTGCCCCGGGGATCTTTCAAAACCTAATGGACTGTCTTCTTAAAGGTACCCCCGGGGTCCAGCCATTCTTTGATGATGTTTTAATCGCCACTCCCACGCCCGAGAGTTTCGCCGACAGACTGCACGCCATCCTGCAACAATTCCACATGGTAAAATGGGAGAAGTGTATGCTGGGAGTGCCCAGGGTAGAGTTCCTGGGATTCACGGTCGACACACAAGGCATTCATCCAATACCGGACAAAATCAACGCCATTGTCAATGCTCCGCCGCCCACATCCAAGGCTGAACTCCATGCCTTCTTGGGGCTGCTGAACTTCTACCACTCTTTCTTGCCCCACAAAGCTGCCATCGTGGAGCCCCTGCACCACCTCCTTGACAAGAATGCCACGTGGGCTTGGGGGTCGAAGCAAGCCACCACGTTCTGGGCCGTCAAAGACCTGCTGACATCTAACACGGTCCTGGCACACTTTGATTAAGTGCTTCCCATGGTCCTCACCTGCGATGCTTCGCCGTACAGGGTTGGTGCCATCTTAGGCCAACAGCTGCCCATCGGCCGGGAGGTCCTGGTGGCCTACTACTCCAGGATCCTTTCCTTGGCCAAGCACAACTATGCTCAAATCGACAAGGAAGCACTGGCTATTGTGGCAGGTGTCAAGAAGTTCCACGACTACCTGTACAGTCGGCCCTTCACCATCATCACTGACCACAAACCTCTCTTGGGCCTTCTGGCCCCCGATTGCCAGACGCCTCAGATGCTGTCCCCCCGAGTGCTCCGTTGGTCCATCTTCCTCATGGGCTACCGGTAAACGCTGTTACACCAACCCGGAGGAGCAATGGGCCACGCCTAAGCCTTAAGCCGCTTGCTGCTGCCTACCAGCGACCCAGACCCAGCGCCCACACACCAGATCCTGCTCCTTGAGGACCTGCTGGACAGACCCCTTCAGGTAACTGATGTGTCCCGCCGCACCGCTCAGGACCATGTATTGTCCCATGTTCTGGACTGGGTGGGGAGGGGGTGGCCCACCAGCTGGGTGGCCCCGGAATTCACTGCATTCTCCTCCCCACGGGATGAACTGTCAGCCCACAAGGGCTGCCTATTATGGGGAAGTCGGGTAATAGTTCCCATGCCACTAAGGCAGCAAGTCCTCACAGCCCTCCACAAAATGCACCCGGGGATCGTGCAGATCAAGGCCCTGGCCCGCAGCTACGTTTGGTGGCCTGGCATGGACAGTGAGATTGAGGACTGTGTGAAATGTTGCCAGACGTGCCAGGAATTCCAACCGGAGCTCCCCTGGGCCCCAGCGCGGCAGTGGGAATCCTCTGGGAGACTCTGGGCTCGACTACACTTGGATTTCACTGGTCCCTTCCAGGGCCAACTCTTCTGCATCTTAGTAGATTCATTCACCAAGTGGCTAGTGGTGGTACTGGTTACATCTACGTCATCCCGAGCCGCCATCCACGCTATGTGGCAAATTTTCAGTACACAGGCATCCCCGACTCACTCGTAATGGACAACGGGACAGCCTTCACGTCAGCAGAGTTCCACGAATTCGTATAGTACTACTCTATTTGGTACATCCGCTCAGCTCCAGTGTTCCCTCTAAGCTGAGTTAGTGTGAGCTAGCTCACAGTTTTTTAGCCTCCAGCGCACAGATTTTTGTCTCGGCTCAGGAAGGATGGCTCCAGAGCCAACTAATTGATGCAGCAGCCAAATTGCTCGCTCATAACTTTAATGCCAGGGACTCACAAAGGAGAATTTTTGCTCACAAGACTCCACAGCTTAGAGGGAGCATCCACCCCGCATCCAATGGCCAGGCTGAGACAATGGTGAGGACAACCAAGGAGGTCCTCCACAGAATTGTACACGGTGAGTGGGACCACTGGCTGGCAGCCTTCCTTTTCAACAACAGGATAACCCAACACACCTCCACAGGCCACAGCCCTGCAGAACTCTTAATGGGAAGGCGGCTAGCTACCCACCTGGACAGGTTGCAACCGGATCCCAGAGTGTCAACTATGCTGCCATAAGGTCAAGGGTTAGCACCAGCGGTGATGAAAGCCCCGAGCCGGCGGGTAAACGGGATCTCATCAATCCATCGTTAGCACAGTTCGGGTCAAGAGTGACAAGGGGCCCCCTGAGGATTCTTCCCTGGCGACCCAGTGTATGCCCGCAACTTCACGAGGGGGCCGGAGTGGATCCCAGCCAGAATGGTCAGGGTGACCGGGCCAGTATCCTGCGAGGTGTCCACAGAAGACGGACAAAGGCTTCGCCAGCACATCGACCAGCTACGCGGCCGCCTTCTTCCGGCAGAACCTGCTAGGCCACGCCAGAGGACGGCGATGATGACCTGCCAAGCCCAAAGAGACAGAGCGCGTGAGGCCTGCGCCAACGAGCAGTGCCCAACAGGAGCTGCCAGATGAGAGATCAACGCCAGCTACTACAGAAGGAAACACTGATGCCCCAGTGCCGTCAGCCCCTCCGGACTCCGAGGGTGAGCCCACTCTGGCCACCGCGCCAGAGCTTGCAGCACTACCAATGGAACTCTGCCATTCAACCAGAGAACGGCGCAGGCCAACCTACCTCGGGACTATGTCAGTTAAGGGTTCCGAACTATGGGGGGAGGGGTGTTATGTATTGATATGAACATGTCAGGACACGTAAGCGCTAAGGAAGCCATGCGGTCTAGCGTACCTTCAGGGTGTAGAACAATAGCCGACTCGGATCCTAGTGCGGACCAATGGGTTTGCCCGGATCCCAAGGTTGACCTGTGATGGACTCTTATGCTGTAAATAGCCTATCACGGGAGTGGTGTGTGTGTTGGGTGTTGTGTGCGGCAAGGATAAAAGCAGGGTTCGAACCCGGCTAGTCCAGAGTGTCAACTATGCTGCCATAAGGTTAATGGGCCCCTCCTGGACCCCCTCCCTGTCCTGTGTACCAGCCTGAACTGCATTCTTTTCCCTACGCTTCTCCTCTCCTTATCTCTGACCTTATAGGCTGCAGATGTAGTGTCTCCACATAACTCATCCGTGAGACTGCTTTCGGTTCCCAGCTTTTAGTATTAACGGCCCAGGTAATTGTTCCCACTCGTGGGAGTCAGGCCGATTGGCCCGTAGCGGGGGGGGGGGTGCTTTTGATTCTACTATCTCTCTCCCTGGGTCTAGGGGTTCACTATTCCTAACAGTGATTATGCTCATGCTACCATTGTACTGGCAATAAAAGTATAACCTTTGAAGAAGCGTGTACTCAGTTGCTTGACTGTGAGTCCTGACATTCTGTTAGGAATCCTCCTTCCCCTACTTTGTCGAATCTCTCGAGCTGAGATGAGTGACGATGAGGAGAAAACTGTCCCTAAGACGACAGATGGTGAGGTTCCTGTTACTCAGACCGAGGTACCGGTGCCTACTACCCCACCGGCGACTAACCTGCCTACAACTTCGGTGCTGGGCACGATACCGAAGATGTCCACGGGACTGTTATTCATGACACTGCAGGGTCCGCGGCCACTGGCAAGGACATTCATACCGACCAGGTACTTTGAGATGGGGCCAATTTCACCCAGACTAAACGGAGGAAACGTATGCCCTCACGCAAGGGCCCCGTAGAGATAGCCATTTTGATCTAGGCTTCCACTCCGAGCCAAGTTTCCCACACTTCAGGGTCGCCGTGGAAGCGGCCACCGGGGCTTGGGTTATGGGCCGCTCGAAGGCACATAGTGGTCGCACATCCCCCGAGGAAGGGGTGGACTGGGGCCAACGCTTGGAGGCCGCTGAAAGGGAGCAGATGCAGATGCGGCAGGATTCAAAGAAGCACTGCTCGCCATCCCGGGTATGGTAATCAGGGCGCTGAGAGCGGAGTGTGAGGCAGAGCACCTGGTACCGGTCCTTCCCCCCCCCAAGAGGCACCCCAGCTGCCAGCCCCCCAAGGACCGGGACCCCGAGGACCGCCGGTTCCAGCACCCGCACCGAGGGAAGAGCAAGCTCCTTCTTCTGGCAGAACCCGCTAGGCCACGCCAGAGGACGGCGATGATGACCTGCCAAGCCCAAAGAGACAGAGCGAGCGAGGCCCGCGCCAACGAGCAGTGCCCAACAGGAGCTGCCAGACGAGAGATCAATGCCAGCCACTACAGAAGGAAACACTGATGCCCCAGCGCCATCAGCCCCTCCGGACTCAGAGGGTGAGCCCACTCTGGCCACCGCGCCAGAGCTTGCTGCACCACCAACCAGAGAACGGTGCAGGCCAACCTACCTTGGGACTATGTCAGCTAAGGTTTCCGAACTATGGGGGGAGGGGTGTTATGTATTGATACGAACATGTCAGGACACGTAAGCGCTAAGGAAGCCATGCGGTCTAGCGTACCTTCAGGGTGTAGAACAATAGCCGACTCGGATCCTAGTGCGGACCAATGGGTTTGCCCGGATCCCAAGATGGACTCTTATGCTGTAAATAGCCTATCACGGGAGTGGGGTGTGTGTTGGGTGTTGTGTGCGGCACGGATAAAAGCAGGGTTCGAACCCGGCTAGTTTGTCTTTAGTTGAGCTGAATTAGTATGAGCTGATCACTTGCTACCTCGTCTGAACCCAGTACTTTACAGTTGCCAACTTCCAGGCGGAGCTTGGAGATCTCTCAGAATTACAACTGACCTCCTCCAAACTATAGAGCTCAATTCACCTGGGGTGGGAAATGGCTGCTTTGGAGGGTGGACTCCGTGGCATCACATCATTGCTGAGCTCCCCCCACAAACTCCACCCTCCCCAGTGGTTCACCCCCAAATCTCCAGGAATTTTCCAACGCAGAGTTGGCAATCCTGTGTCTTGAAGTATTCCTTAAATTAGTTTCTCCTTACATTAATCTAAATGTAATTTATAACAATTGTGTATTTAAAGAAAAAAGTAAAAGTTAAAGGAAACATACAAAATACAAAAGAACTAGAAATAACTGTCCTTCCCACCCCACAAAAAAATTCTGCTCACTATGCTCCATTTAAAACCCTGGCAAATAAAATGGCCTTGCAGTATATCCTAAAAAGTTCCAGAAATGGCTTCCCCCTCACTAGGTTGCCAGTTCTGAATTGGGAGATTCCTCGAGATTTCGAGAGAGGAGTCTGGGGAGGGGGGGGATCTCAGCAGGGTAGAATCCATAGAGTCCACTCTCTGAAGCAGCCATTTTCTCCAGGTGGGGCTGGTCTGTTGTCTGGAGAGCAAATCTCCAAGACCCACCTGGAGATTGGCAACCCTACCCCTCATGGCTTGGGGAAGTTGATTCCATGGGGTGAGAGATGGGACTGAAAAAATCATAGGCTCTGCTTGATGCCAGGTGAGTTACCTGAAGTAGGGGGACAGGAGGAAGAGATTATCCTTTAGCCTTTCAGTGCTTCAGGTCTCCACACACGCAAAGTTCCTCGGAAGGATCCAGAACAGTTTATCACAATAATGAAAAATGAAATCAAAGGACAATAAAAGAGTAACACACAATTTAAATAAAACACTCAAACAAAACATGACTAAGCATATCTTGGGGTAGTCCTGGATTCAACTTGCCAGTTCAGCCAAGACCCCAGTGAGGGAGCTGAACCAGGTAGAATAACTGCATTTCTCTCAGAGCAAGATATTACAAATCAGGTGGGGAAACACAATGTCCTTGCAAAAGAAGCACTGTCTTGAAGGAAGACAGCTAGAAAGTCCTGCAAGAAATAAGTAACAGCTACACACCTGTTGCAAAAAACATCACCTGAAAAGGATTCTGTTGCACAGGTCACAAATTCAGTTATTCTTCAGGGAGCTTCATGAGTCTTTTGCATATTTCAGATGGGCTTCCAGCAGACATCTTACCAGCAAGATTTTTTCCCTTCCCTGCTGCTATTTTTAAAATTAAAAAAAACAAAATTTCCCCTGAAATGTGGAAGTTAGTTCCTTAGTTTATTATTTCCTACAGTCCTAAAAAAATTACATCACCATTACTGTTAGAATTCATTTCTGAAGGCCCTTTTGATTTTTGCTGGTTCATAAATGGTAGGATTCATTTGCATGTGTTACAAGAAAATGTTTAAATCTTCTTCACAGCAGCATTTGAGAGTGAAAAGTATTAAACATTCACAATTGTTTCCTTTTACCAATTATCCTGAGTACCTTTTGGAAGATGAAAGAGGAGCAGACTGCATTTAAAAGTACAAGGGATGACTAACAGCCCAGGGAAGAAAGATCAGGATTTCCACTAAATCACAAATAGCAAAATAAAAATTAAAAAATTGAAATCTGTCAACTGTTTAGTTCCTTGTTGATGATGGGGAGCTGAAATTAGCATCAGGAACACAAAAGCATTTCTCCAGATTGCCACAATTAAAGGACCTTGAACCTGACAGCAACAAGACCTTGAGGACTAGAAACAATCACTGGGAAAGCTGGGTGGATTAGGAAGGAGCAGCTGTTGGGAGATGATATAAGTAAGCAGTAGCTTGGGGGGAAAGGCAACAGAGTTGTCGACCACCAGGTGTGAACTAAGAGGTTGCAAGCAGATTACGGTGAGTAACAGACTCAGCATAGAAACCACAGAGTTTGAAGTTTCTTTGTATGTTTATTCAAAATTTAGTTCAGTTTTATTCAAAGGGATGGACTTCTAAGCATCATTCATAGGGCTGCAGCCTTAAAAACCATGGAGAAGTGCTGAAAATATCTGTATTGGTCTATTGCTGTTTTGCCTTTCCTTTTTCTCAGCTTTCAGCTGCTCAGAGATTTAGCTCCAAAACAAATGCTGCCTGCGCTATTACCTCTGCATTTCAGTGCCTTGGTCAGCGAAAGAGTTCTTATCCTGCACTTACCTTCCTGTTGTACTGCAATATTTGAAAACAATGCAAATATAATTCCAAACAGCAGGCAGGGTGTTTGTTCAGTAGCATCCTTGGGGCACTGGGTTTCAGCTGGTAAGCCAATAGCTGTTTTATTCTGCCGTTCCCACTATAATTCTTCCATTCTGGAGTCTCTGACTCACTATTTAACCTGATTGTTTTAAACATGCTCTTGATTTGAGCGTAGCTGCCACCTACTTTCTGGCAGGGATGGTTTACTTTCAACAGCTGCTTGCAGGGTAGAAATGTGTCAATTGTAGTTTCCTTAGATATAGAACTCCTGCCAACCTAGCAGTTTGAAAGCAAGAAATTGCAAGTAGATAAATAGGTACCACTTCGGTGGGAAGGTAACAGCGTTCCGTGCACCTTGGTGTTTAGTCATGCCGGCCACATGACCACGGAAACGTCTTCGGACAGCGCTGGCTCTTCGGCTTTGAAACGGAGATGAGCACCGCAACCCTAGAGTCGGATTCGACTGGCTTTCGAGCAAGGGAACCTTTACCTTTACCTTTTTTAGATATAGAAATAAGAAAAGTGTGACCAGCTCAATTATTTGGGGTGATCCAGATTTTAAAGGCTTTGTCCGGAGAGAAAAAGAAGTTGGGAACTCAGTTTGTACTCTAACATCCGTAAAACAATGGCTTGAAAAATTATAGTGGACGTGACTTATGTAACTAGACAGAGCAACCTGCATTTTGAATCCTGTGAAGACTGTGACAGCAAATCTGTTTGCCAGCTTTTCTTTGATTAGCTATGGAACAAATCATTTGAAAATTCAGTTGCCTTTCTTCAGCTTGCAAGTCTTTGTACAGGAAAGTGACTTTAATGCTGTAGCATAAATTCTCCTAGGATTTTTTTTAAGTGAAGAACTACAAATAACAGGGAATGTTTGTGTGTTTTCTCCTGTGGGTTGCTGACTGTACATACATTACTTATAGTCATGTTAAAAATGCATTCTGTGGGTGCACCTACTGGCCTCTATCTGCCCCACCTCACCCCCCAAGAGCATTCAGCTTAGCCTCCAGACTGAAATCGCACATGTGTTCTATTGCACACAAAATCTGAAATGCAATCCTAATCCAGTCTCTGTATGCTGTGAATTAATTCAGAAAGCTAACACAAGCACATTTAAGCTATCTTTTTGCTTTTCACATGCACACATTAACTGCAGGAGAAAGGCTAAAGAGCAGGTGTGAATTTGGTCCTGGCTATTTGGAATGCATATAGGGTAGAGAGGGTAGTGATCTCCCCACCCGCCTTCAAAACATACGTAAGGTGCTGAGGGCATGACCAGCAGTTTGCATCTCCACAGATAGGTTCACTTGCTCACCCGAGTAACACACATGCAGTCAGTAATACATGTCACACTTTCCCCCTGCCTGTTCTTAAATGATGACCAACACATCCCAGTGTTTCAACTTAAATTGCTTTATTTCCTAATTCACAAAAATAAATAAATAAAGCTTTCATGGCTGTACTTTTTCCCCAGTAGCCACCCTTGGCACTGCCGAGTCCATGTTGTGCTGCAAATATTGGAAAACCAAAGCCCCCCTTCTACTGCAGTGTCAGGAATATTTTCAGAAGAACACTTTCCTGGTAGCAGGCCCCATGGAATCAAATGGGATTTACTTCTGAGTAGACCTCCTTAGGCTTGTTCCCTCCGAGACTGAAGTGCCCAGTTTGCCCCTTGCTTCTGTCATGAACTATGTTTAGGATTACACTGTACAGGAAGGAAATAGCTGGTCAGGGTCAGATGAAATTTTTGCAGGATGGCCCCGATTAGGGTGGCCACAGCTTGTGACATTCCAGGAAATTTGGGGCCAGTGCCTGGAGATGGTAGAGTTTAGGGAGGTGTGACGTCATATCCCTTGATGTTGCATCTCGGTCAAAGTTCAGTTCCTCCAACTTCTCCCTTTCCTGTTAGACTACTTCCTCCCACCCAAATTCAGATTTTGAATGTAACTTCCCTGCCTTATACCATTCAGCCTAAAAAAAACCCCTCTCAGAGTTATTTCCTGGTTTTAATTTGAAGATCCATAGAAGGACACCAGACAACAGCAGTCCCAGCTGACCCTCAGTACCCAGTGAGTAAGTCTTTACAGGCAACTATCAGTCACTGTCTCCTAGCCCCTACGGTATGCCATAGGAGCAGTGGAAGAGCTGGGGTTGTCAACTTCTAGGTGGGGCCTGGAGATTGCCCCAAATTACATCTGATCTCCCGACTACCGGGATTAGCTCCCCTGGAGAAAATGGCAGCTTTGGAGGGTGGACGCTGTGGCATCACACATCCCTGCCGAGTTCCCTCCCTTCCCCAAATCCTACCCTCCTGAGGACCTGACCCCCAAATATCCAGGAATTTCCCAGCCCAGACTTAGCAACACTCTTTAAAGCTTCCACTCTCAATGCTAGGACTTCCTTTTGTCCTAGACTCAGTAGTTTCTCCAGAGCAACGGACCTCTGCAGTCTGGAGATTGGTTTATTTCTGGGAGAACTCCAGGTAGTACCTGGAGGCTGGCAACCCTATTTCTGAGGCTTGTGCTGGACAAGTACCCCTGGGGAGTATCTGGCTCCCCTCTGGTTTCCATGGACCTAGGAAACAAGGCCTGGTTGGCATGAAAAGCAACTCATCGCTTTGCAAGGCGAACTTTTCCTGGGAATCAACTGTGTCCCAGTAAATGTGTTTTCTACTTTGATGCTAAATTAGCTGACACATTCCCTGTTTCCTTTTTCAAGGCTTCTGTTTATTCAAAACACGGTTATCCTGCCTCTTCAAGGATTCAATGTAATCAGTTTGAAATACACAAATATAACCATCCCGATAATGCTGCCTGGCTCGTCCTTATACACCGTGTTGTTGTTTTTCCCCCAGCAAGTGGCCATGATCTCCTCACTCCTGACTCTGGTGCTTTTCCTGGCAGGTGTGGGAAATTGTCATGGTGAGTTTCCCAGCTACTAAGCTGGAGTTCAGAAAGGTGCTATTTCGGTGCAGTGGGTGGGTTCTCCAGCCAGGCAACTGGAATGACTGCTGGGGGGAGGGGAGAGACACAATGAAAGGGATACAGTCACACCATGGAGGCTCAGCTCAGTCCTGGCCATTGCCTCCAACTGGGTTTGACTTGTGGCAGTGCAGGAAGGGGCATTGGGGTGACCCAAGTACCTTGAACCAGTCCTGTGGATGAACCTTCTGGGCTGGGTGGGTGATGGAAGTGGAAATCTTCTCTGCTTTCAGGCAACTGACTGATTCCTTCTGCTCCAGGTCAACTGACAGAGATTCATACCACAACAGGAAATGCAGTCCTGCGAACTCCGAGGACCCTGGGACCGTGCTTTTCAAGCCCGTGTTGGAACCAGGGTGATTGTAGTGTTGTCGAAGGCAAGCCAAGTTGCGCCTGTAAGCCAGGATTCACGGGACCATTCTGCAAAGGTAAAGCAGGTCTGCGCTGGTACAGCATCTCTGTTGCCTACATGCAGCCTCTCCCTATATTCTGAAGGAGTTCTGTAACCCAACTGCGTTTGGGGGAATGCTTTCCACAATGATCTGTCTGTCCCAGAATCTTCTTTCTACAGTGATTTTTCTGTCCCGGCATCTCCTGCAACAGACAAGTTCACAAGGGGTGCTAGCCAGATCTTTTGGGGAACCCCCCCCCCACCCTGCATAGTTTGAGAGCTATCCATTCAATTGCGAGATCATCATCAAACTCCTCATGTTGAGGGATTTTGTATATTTGCTTCAGCTTAAAAATGTATACTCTACCTCCTTGCTTCGTGAGAGTATCACAACACCAAAATTAAAACACAATTGCAAGATTAAGAAATGACAGTGATAAAATTAAATTGTAAAACACAATTGCAATCCAAGACTAAGAAATGACAGTGATAAAATTAAATTGCCTGATAGTTCAAGAGTTTCTCAGTCCAGCATCATACTCAAAGACTATCTTGGTACACATGCCCTTTGCAAAACAACAGATGTTTACAGTTTACCAAAGGCAAGTAAACTACTGCTGTTCCTTTTGTAGCTAAAGGTATTGTGACTTAATTTTATTTTATGTTTCCATGGCTGAATTTCATTATTACAATAAAGAAAAAGTAAAAGAAAATAAATATACACTTATCCTGCAAAAAAAAAGTAGTAATTAAAACTTTCGCACTAATCCTGGCAACAAACAAGAGGAGGATTCATTAAGTCTAATTCTTTTCTGGTCACTCTCACGGCATTTTTGAATGAATCCTTCATATGTCAACAGGGCCGACAGAGAGGTTTTAGTTACTGCTTTTCTGTTTGCAGGAAAAGTGATTTCATTACAATCAAGAAAAATTAATCAAGGAAACATGGCCACAGAAACATAAAATGACGTTAATGAGCAATGCCTTTGGCTACAAAGGGGAAAGTAATAGTTCCTGGCAAGGGAAGTGGTTTAGGATGTGGAAGGCTATGGTTACTGTGAACTGACAGGAAGTAATTCTTCACAGAGAAATAGAAGTGCTCACAGCTGCACCATGAAAAAAGAGAAGTAACAAAATTTGAAGGGTCATCTGTTGAGAGAAGTGGGATCTTCATTGACCAGGACTTCTTTCTAACTAAAGAGGCTATTAGGATCTTGCCCAAACAGGTGGAGGCTGCCGGATTTTTATGGGAAATACAGAACTGTGTTAAGCGCAACATATTGCCCCTAGAGGTTTCTTTATCTTGGTACCCTGCCCAATTAATCTTTGCTGCTACTCATTATAAAATAGAATTAAGAGGTGGGGGTAAACGGTCTTTCACCACTGTCATCCTTTAAAAGACTCCTCCTTCCCCCACTTGCCTAGGAAAACTTTGGCAATCAATATCTAGTCCCTTTATTTTCAGTCATTGCAAACTTCTTGTCTCCCACCAGAAATGGTGGTAGATCTGCAATGTGAGGAAGAGTTCATGATGATGATGGTGAGAAAGGAAGTGTTTGAAATGTTCAGTATCCCTTTGGCATTGGTCCACCTGAAGAACAGCGCCTGCAAAGTCTCTGAGCAAGAGGAAAGGGGTGCCGCATATTTTGGAGCAAAGCTGACGAAGGAGAATCACACCCGATGTGGATCTCTGATTCAGGTGAGGTTCTGAGGCAGACTCTCTCACACCCCACCTTAGAGGGAGCCCTTTGTCAAAGCCAGGCATGGAGGTAGAATGTGGTGTAGTGGCTGAACAGGGACTGAGAAGGCCTGGGTTCAAATCTTGTTGGGTGATCTCACGGCAGTCACACACTCTTTGCCTAGCCTGGGTTGTTGCAAGGATAGCATGAAGAAGGGGAGGAGGACTGTAACCCCACCCACCTCAGACATGCTTATGCTGGTCAGACCTCTGGCCCATCCTGCCCCTGATGGTTCCCCAGGGTGAAAAGCTTGGGACTTTCTCCGTTCACCTGGAGATAAGAACCTTCAACCTGGAGAAACTGGGGACTGAAACAGAGTGTGTGTGCAAAGCAGATACTCACCATCTTCTCCCTCCCACCAGTGTCAACTTTGGCTTTCACTGGGTGTGCTCTGGGAAGTGCTTCTGAGCAGGACTTGAAGATAAGGATGGTCTTGTGCAACAGTAGCTCATAAGTGGGCTTGAATTTGCAAACAATACATATATCATGCCACCTTCCTGTGAGAGGAGGGGCAGTAGTTCAGTGGAAGAGCCTTTGCTTGGCATGCAGAAGACCCCAGGTGTACTCCCCAGTATCTCCAGTTAAAAAAAAACAAGACCAGGCGTAGGAGCTGTGCAAGACCTCTGCCTGAAACCCTGGAAAGCCACTTCCTGTTTGAGTAAACAAGACTGACCTTGACAGACTAACGGTCTGATTCAGGATAAGGCAGCCTCATATGTGTTCAAGGCTGTTCTCCTAAAGAGATAATTGCCTTTTCCCCTCAAGGAGTGGAAGAAGAACTTTTTTTTTTTAACTGCCAAGTATCTGTTCCATTCACCAGACAGAGCAGTAATTGCTATTATGGTTGCCGTGTGAAGGGAATTTGTGTGAGCATCCTGGCTAGTAATTGGGTATTATTTATGGCGAGATTGGTGGTGAGTCACACAGCTCTTGCCCCACAGCTCTTGCCCCTTATAAACCAACTTATGAACTGTTTTTTTTTAATACTTAGCTTGTTCTTGAGAGTCTTATGATCCCTTGATGTAAAGTCAACTACAGGACTCGGGGTGGGGGGGAGCTGATAAGCAGACTTAACTTGAAAGAACCAGGGTGTGCAAACTAATAATTATCTCACACCAACTGGGTTGGATCCAGATTAAATTGCTAATAGCCACCAATGCCCTCTTACCACTTTAGACCTCCCCCCAACTGCCTCATTTCGTATCTTGAGTCCCTGTCCCTTAGGAGCAATGATGGAGATGCGCTACAGTAGGACGGGAAAGACAGGAAAGTTTCATTCTCTCATTGGAAAGCTTAGTCTGGATCCAACCCTCTGTGACCTGGGTGCACTGTGCAAAGCAAGAACGCTGTACTTTTTAAGTGTTAGGATGGCTCCTCTTTCTTACTCCTGGCCTCTGGCCAATGCCCAGACTTGCCAACCTGTAGGGCTGGATGCTAGATACAAAGCAGTACCTTTTGTACATATGTGGTATAAGGTGTTATAGTGTGCCATGTACCGTGGATGAAGAACCTATTGCAACTTATTTGTACATATTTTAATAGATTCCAGTTATTTTTTGATTCTCTAAACATAATTTTCGGCTGTTTTTCAGGTCAATGGTTCTCATGTGTCTTACGCTAATGAGATCCAGACAGATAGAGAGGATGATGGCGTGATCACAAGGACCGTGGTTCTTAACGTGCGCTTCTCCTGTATCTATGCCTACACACGTGTTGTTGGTTTGCAAAACCCACTCAAAGCTGTGGACACGTATGTTCCTCATCCTCTATCTTTCCAAATTACAGACTGTACTAGGATACTCTTATGTCACTGTGGCAACTCCCCCCCCCTTTTCTCAGTCTTCCTCCAAGTTGCTTTGCTCCAAAGTTCTGGGATAGATAGATCACAGAAATGCCTGGATGGCTGTCATGTGGGCAGGAAAGCTCAGATTTTCCTACCCACACGGTTAGGGTTGCCAGCCTCCAGGTGGGGCCTGGGGCTCTCCAGTTTTTACAACTGATCTCCAGCTGACTGGGATCAGTTTTCCTGGAGAAAAATGGCTGTTTTGAAGGGTGGACTCTATGGCATTGTACTATACTGAGGCCCCTCCCTTCCCCAAGCCCCGCCTTCTCCTGGCTCCACCCCCAAAGTCGCCAGGTATTTTCCAACCCAGACTTGGCAACCCTACACATGGTAGCCATTTTTACAGACACTGTCCCTTTGGTGACCATTTCACCCCAGCCACTAGGGAGCTTCGGGTTTTTTTCCTTATTGGCAATCAAATATTGTTATCGAGATGATGTTATAGCAATCTGCATACCAGATTTTACTGGATTTCCAGCTTTCATTTTTTGTAAAGTAATTTAGTGCCTTCCACTGCGGAAATATTAGTGGCTAATTTTTTTTAATGAATGCTGGGAATTCAGAGAACCTGTCACACCAATCCTGAAATGACATAGGGTAGCTTTAGGAATTGCTGGAAACTCTGACTGATTTCGCACTAGAGTTGCCTCGCTGTTGCGCTGCCATTTGCCCCGGTTCTATTGGTCAATTTCACACCTGAAGCCGCAGGGCTGATTTTGACCCACGGCTTCGCCCGATTTCCTCCGCAGTTTCGTTGACCCTGAAAAAACAGGGGCTGATTTCGCACTAGAGTTGCCTCGATGTTGAGCTGCCGTTTGCCCCGATACTATCGGTCAATTTCACACCCGAAGCCACGGGGCTGCATTTGACCCGTGGCTTTGCCCGATTTCCTCTGCAGTTTCATGATCCTCAAAAAAACAGGATCACGAAACTGCGGGGGAAATTGGGCGAAGCCGCGGGTCAAAATAACTTCTTCAGGTGTTCAACATGACCAAAACCAAAGGCAGTAGCATGGTGCAGTGGTTAAGCAATGAACTCTAATCTGGGGAACCGAGTTTGATTCCCCTCTCCTCCTCCACATGAAGCCCACTGGGTGACCTTGGGCCAGTCACAGTTCTCTCAAACTCTCTCAGCCCCATCTACCTCACAGGGTGTCTGTTGTGGAGAGAGGAAGGGAAGGTGATTGTAAGCTACTCTGAGACTCCATAAGGCAGAGAAAAATGGGGTATAAAAGCTTCTTCTAAAATTTGTGTTACTAAAAAGAAAGTATTCCTTAAGCCTGGAATCTGGTTAATAAGGTAATAGCAGGCCCAGATCTTGTTTCAACTTTTACCCTTCCAAGTCTGATGCAAAGATCTTTGTACTTTTTCTGTAAGACCAAATGTGGGCAGGCAAGTGTTGCTAGACCTACTCTGGAAAGCTGTTCCAAAGCTCTTGCGGCCATGACTAAAAAGGCTTTGTTCCTTCTAGAGCGAACGTAGCCTCTCTGAAAAACAGGAGGAAGGCTCTCCCTAAAGATCTTAAGAGGTGAAAAGGGATTTCAGTCCTCCAGGAGAGACAACATGTGATTCCCATTTGATCCTGGGAAACCATGAAAAAAGGGGTGGGGGGGGGGGAGGTGTGGGATAAAGCCAAGCAAATTTGATTTTTATTATTTATTTGTTTTGTTTGTGCCCCCCCTCCCCGCCGAAGCAGGCTCAGGGCGGCTTACATAAAATTACAGGAGATAAAAACAACACTATAAATATCAAGATAAAACACAGCATTATTTCGACTTTAGTAATAAAATAATGTTTTAAATTGTTATTTGCCCTCAAGATCTATGATGGGGTAGAGAAAAGGCTTGAAAGGATCCCGGGGTTGGGGAATAAGTACATACAATTGGGTGGCAGGTGTGGAGGCGGCACCCTGACCTGGGTGGCCTGGTCTCATCAGATCTCAGAAGCAAAGCAGGGTCAGCCCTGGTTAGTTCTTGGACGCGAGACCACCAAGGAAGTCCAGAGTTACTAGGCAGAGGCAGGCAATGACAACCCCCCTTCTGTTCATCTCTTGCCTTGAAAACCCTACAGGGCTGCCATAAGTTGGCTCCGGCTTGAGGGCGCTTTACACACAGAGAGACCTGGCTGAATCTGTGGCTCCCTCTCTTCTAGGCTTGTGCAGTTTGCGGTGAAGGAAGGGGACTTCACTGTGACCATGGCATTGTATGACACTTCTGCCTACGATCAGGTCTACTCCCAACAGCGCTTATTTTCCCTCCTCCTGACGGACACCCTTTACGTCCTTCTGCAAATTAGAGGTCAGCAACAGGTGAAGTACTTCTTCCTGAGCGTGGAGGACTGCTGGGGCACGCCAAAAAGTGACCCAAACCACAGCTTAAAGCACCACCTGGTTATGAAAGGGTAAGAGAGACCGGCTTTTTCCAGTTCAATTTGGACAGGTGTATGTTTGTAGGGACTGGTGTATGTTCATAGGGTTGCCACTCCCCAGGTGACTCCTTGAGAGCTCCTAGAATTACAACTGAAAGCCAGAATACAAAGATTAGTTCCCTGGAGGAAATGACTGCTTTGGAGGTTGGACTATATGGACTTATACCCTGCCAAGGTCTCTCCCCAAACCCCACCCTGCCACAAATCTCCAGGAATTTCAAGCCTGAAGTTGACAGTCCTATGTACATGGCCTGACTCACCTGTGAGTGTCTGTGGTGGGTTATGGTGAGGTTGGGTGACCAGGTGGAGCCCCTGCTGGGCCAAGTGGCTTCTTCAGCTGACCCCAGAGGAATCTTTTTCATTCAGTAAAGTCAGTAACCCTTCCCATGTTGCCTGATAATGTTTCCTGGGACTCAATTCCTTTCCCCACAAAAAAAATTCCACTCCAAAGAGCCAGTCCTAGCTTTCCTTCACCTCATTGGAGCAGAAGGTGCTCCTGGAGAACCCAGGAGGTATCACCTTTGGGTCTGCAGGGATTACCCAATCAGAAACCACTGCCTCTGTTGTAGGATGATGCTTGGCTTGGAACTTCACAGCTTTTTGTGACTGTCCCCAGCCCCCCAGCCCCATGGTGGCCATTTTGTGATTGGCTGTGCCTTTCCCCCACAGAAGTATTTTGTGGTGTGCCTACTAGCTGCTGTTATAATTCTGTTAAGTACCCACAGACTCAACATAGTTGGGGACCTTCCACCATACTTGCTTCTTCCAGTGTACATCAGACCAGGTCATCTGCAAGAGGAAATCACAAGAATCAATGTTTTAGGCTTTGGCAAATATAATAAGGAAAATGTCTTTTTTCGGTTTTGCCTCAGATTCTAGCACTGGTGTAATGGAAGAGGCATCTGGTAATGCCTGTTTTTGAAAGCCTTTTCTGTCACCTTGCTGGGCTTCACCGCATGGTGTAGTGGCTGGACTGACTAGAATCTGGGAGACCCAGGTTTGGATCCCCACTCTGCCACGGAACTTGGGCCAGTCGCTGTCCCTCAGCTTCACTTACCTCACGGGGTTATGAGGATAAAATAGAGGAAAGGAGAACAACATAAGCCGCTTTGTGTCCTCCCTGAGGAGAAAGGTGGGGTATAAATGAAGTAAATAAAGTAAATTATTCACATCCGGCCGTGGCAGGCACTAAATGAAATTTCTTCCCCGCTAGGCACTGCAGGTTGCTATGGGGAAAAAAACCAGAAATATCCAGAAAGGATAACTGTTGAAGGAGATTTGGAAACAAAAAGATAAGAGAATGGAAGATAGTGCTTGGCAGAGGCAGAAAAACAATGCAAGATGTTTAAAAGGGCTGCTGAGAAAGTATGTTGTGCCAGTTGTGTATTCCATTCCCCTTCATGTGGTAATTTCAAGTAGTCTTAGGTACAGTGTATAGCAGACACCATGTCTGATGAATTTCAGTTGTCAAATTGCCTTGGCATTTCCCCCCAAGGAACTAAATGATGATTTTCAACATTAGCAAGAAAAGACTAGGAAAGGCTTAAAAGTAGGGATGGTCAAGAGGGACCTTGGGGCTGAAACCAGCCTGTGAAGCCATTTTTAAATCTTGACCTGGCAACCCTACCCCATGTTAACGAGACAGGATAAACAAGTTTCACCATCACATTTTGTGGACAAAGCCTTTTTAATGCTGCAATCTATTCTTAAATATTTTGTACACCTGCCCTGTAAATGGTCAGGTTTGTCGGCAGTGTTAGGCTTCTCCGGGGCTTTTTTTTCCTGAGGGAACATGCCGGAATGAAGTTCTGGAGCCTCTTCAACAAAATCCATTTTTAAAATGTTTAAAAGTTCATGAGTTTTCACTGAAAACTTCATTTCCCTCTTTAGAGTTCCAGCTCTACATGTGCTCTGTAATCAGGGGTGAAAGTAACAAATTTCTTACCCAGTGCTGGTCCATTTCAGATGTAAAACAGCTAGGCATATCCCAATTGCATGCCCCAGAAGTGTGTAGTTCCCAATACACAGTCACCATTTTGTTCTATATGGGTACTATCCAGATTTTCTGCTTCAGGCTATGCAGGCTTGGTGTAGTTTGTGATGAAGCAGAAAACATATGTGGTGCTTGTTTCAGACAAGATGGTGACTGCAGGTAGCAGGCACTTCTAGTATATACATTCGTATACCCTCAACTGTCATTGTCTTAAAAAGATTTGTTGTCTTCACCTGGTGGCTCAGAGCCTCTTTATCAGTACTTGATACCAGACTGCTCCAGCTTAGCAGCCTGAATAGTCCAGTTTAGTCTGAGCTCATCAGAATTTAGAAGAAGAAGAAGAGATTGGATTTATACTCCATCCTTCACTTGGAGTCTCAGAGTGGTTTACAATCTCCTTCCCTTCCTCTCCCCACAACAGACACCCTGTGAGGTAGGTGGGGCTGAGAGAGCACTGAGAGAACTGGGACTGGCCCAAGGTCAACCAGCAACCACATGTGGAGGAGTGGGGAATCAAACCCTGTTCTCAAGATCACAGTCTGCCGCTCTTAACCACTACACCAAACTGGCTAAGCATGGTTGGCCACAGCCAGTTCTTGTATGGGAGACCACCAAAGAAAACTGGCGTTGCTAGGTCGAGGAAGGCAATGGCAAACCACCTCTGCTTGTCTCCTGCCTGGGATGCCCTGTGGATGGGGTCACCATGTCTCAGTTGGAATTTGAAAATACATTCTTCTACCCCTAACCTGGATGGCCCAGGCTAGCCCAACCCCATCAGATCTCAGAAGGTAAGCAGGGTTGGCTCTGATTAGTACTCGGATGGGAGACCACTGAGAAAGTCCAGACTTGCTATGTAGAGGCAGGCCACGGCAAACCACTTCCGTTCATCTCTTGCCTTGGAAACCCCCCTGGGTTTGATGCAAGTTGCTTGCAACATAACAGCGCTTTACCTGCATGCATCACCTTACTTTCACCTGTGTCTGTAACTGTTATACCTGCACTGCTGAATGACACTCTAGAGTCTGACTTCTTGAGGAGGAAGCAATTTCTGTGGTACAAGCCTCTGGCCAGCTGTCAAGAGCACAGAGCATTTCCCCAAAACACAGAAGTTAGCTATCCCAGCCTTCAAGGCTAATGTACTTTTAAAAATTATTCCCTGAGGGCTTTCCAACCCTTCTACATTGTACTTTAACCTATAAGGTGAAAGGATTCCAAAATTCCCTGGGTATCACTCTTAACCATGTCAGGGTCAGCTTGTGCTTCACTGGAGACGAAAGCTCATTGCCCATGTGCTTTAGGGATGCCAACCTCCAGGTGGGACCTGGGCATCCCCCAGAATTACAGCTCGTCTCCAGACTTCTGTGATCAGTCCCTCTGGAGAAAATGACTGCTTTGGAAGGTGGACTCTATGGCATTTTACCCCACTGAGGCCCTTGTCCTTAGGTTCCATCCCCAAATCTCCAGGTGTTTCCCAACCTGGATCTGGCAACCCTACCCTCCCATCCCCCACCAGTGGCCAGGGGGGAACTTGACAACCCTAACATGGTCAAAGGACCTTTTTTTCCCTTTACCATGTGCTGGGGCGGAGTGTTAATTATTTAAACCAAGGTCCTGCCTTGCTGATCTTGGCCTACACTGTGAACCAATGTGCTTTCGGCAATGACTGGACCAGAAATGCACTTGCCCTCTTCCAGGTGTCCCCATGACAAGACTGCAACCATCCTTAATGACATTGGCACCAGCACCATGGCAAAGTTCAGTTTTCAGATGTTCCAGTTCAAAAACTTCACAGAGGTGTACCTCCACTGCCAGGTGCGCCTATGCATTCCTGAAAACCAGGAGCCCTGTGCTAAGGTATAGTCTCTCGCAATTGATGCCTTGTTGGGGATGGAGATAGAGTAATTGTAAACATGGCAACATTAAAGACATTAAAGATTTTATCTATTAATATAAATGGGCTGAATAGCCCCCCAAAAAGAAGAAAAACATTTCATCAGATTAATAAAAATAAAGTTGATATTGTCTGCTTACAAGAAACACATATTAAGAAGGGTGAAGAGAAATTTTTGATTAATAACAATGAATGGAAAAGAGACTTTAATAATTAACATCTATGCACCAAATCAAAATCAAGAACTCTTCTATAAAGAGTTACACACGGTGTTAGGTATGAAGGAAGTAGAGAGTATTTGTTTAGTAGGGGACTATAATGCGGTACTTGACCCTATAATTGACAGAAAAGGTACGAGAAAAAGAAATAAAACAGGTGCAATTACAGCAAAAAGCTTCTTTCAAATTGTAGAAGAATTTACTATGGTAGATGC